ACCATCTAAGCTGCCAGGGCATCATTGTCATCCTCCCATCACCATCCCTTCGCCACATCCTGCCATCATCCCCTCACTTTTGCCTCTCACCATCCCTAAGCCATCTCCTTGTCCACCTCCAAAACCCCCTCCATCCCTCCCTATTCTGTTGCTTGAACTTGATCATCTTCAGTCTTTGAAAAACATAAAAGTGCATAAGTGAATAGCTTGTGTGTGTGCAGTCTTTTTTATGTATTTTTTTTCTTCAGAAATTTTCAGTCTTTTTTTAATTTGTTTTTTTATAATGTATTAAAATGTACTTGAGTATGTTTGTAGTAATACAAATATATTATAAACATACTTGTATTTCAAGTGCGTTTTTAATACATTTAATAGTATGTTTTGTTTTTCACCAAAGTATATATGCTGCTGTCCTTTTTTTAGTGTACTTTATAAATATTTGTAATGTACACAACAATATATAATACATGAAAGTTTTCTAGATATCAAAGTGTGTATATACAGAAAAAAGCAGCTTTATAATATACTAGTAGTGTGATGCTAATGCATTTCCAATGAGCTGAAATACAATTGAAATGTACTTGAAGTACATTAAAACGATGCTTCAAATATACTTTAACTGTAGTTCATGAAGTATTAAAAAGACATTTTAAATGTATTTTAAGAAATAAACTTAAATTGCACTAAATATACTTAAAGTGGTTAAATTTTAACACAATTTCAATATATTACAAATAGATTAAAATCCAACTTAAACATATCTTGAAATACACTTAATATACTTAAAGTTGTTTCAAAATAATACATTTAATATGCACTTAGTATAATATCATTTAAATGTAAGTATGTCTGAAAAAGCACAATTTAAATAGGTTTCTTTTTCACCTGGGTAGTCATGGGGGAAAAGCTCGTCAATGAACATTTTTCGTCATGGTCTTCGTTAACGACTAATTCAGAATGATGAAAATGTGATTTAATTGACTAAAACTTGACCAAAATGCTCATACATTTCATTTCATTGACTTGACTAAACAAAACAGGACAAGGTTGTCTAAATATGATAACTAAAATGTACATTTGAGTAAGACTAAGACTAAATTAAAAAGTAATACTGTAAAGTTAATTAATAATAATCTTATTGCTAATATGTCAAGTTTCCATTGACTAAAACTAGACTAAAATACTTCAGGTTTTCTTGGACTAAAACTAGACTAAAATGTTGAGACTTTTAGGCCCGGTTTCACAGACAGGGCTTAGGTCAAGCCAGGATTTTGCCATAGTTAAATTAGGACATTTAAGTAGCTTCTATAAATATGCCATAGATCAAAACATTACTAGTGTGCATCTTGAGACAAAACAATGAATCTGACATATTTTAAGATCACTAAGTGCAAGTTTCTTTCAGTTGAATTAGCCCAGACATTCATTTTAGTCTAGGACTGGGCTTAAGTTTTGTATATGAAACCGGGGGTTAGTCGACTAAAACTTGACTAAAACTAAATAGGATAAGGTTGATTAAATATGATAAAAACTAACAAGGACATTTTAACACGGGACTAAGACTAAAATGAAAATAGCTGACAAAATTAACATTATATGAAAGCAAATAGATTTATGATTATGATGATATATAGACTTATGATTATATATTTTCTGTATATGTTTTTATGTAGCTCTTGGTATTTTTATAACAATAAAGTATGTTGACTAATGACAAGAAGGTAGCGTTCAGTCCATTATAAAACACAAAGAGTGCATGTCTGCTTATTATAGAATCAAAATCCATTTTAGATCACAATCGAAGTTATTACAAGCACTCGATGATGGTTTAAAGTGGAGTTTGAGCAAAAACATTAATAATTACATACATTTTGAAGTGTAGCTTGATGCTAATTGTACCTCTAATTATATTTTCAGATGTATTCTTTGTAAGCATTATGGATTTGTGTTTCTGGTGAAGAACCAAAAGCAGCGGACATTGTAAAAGCCATATACGAGATACATAAGCTACATGAGGAAAAAATGCATTGTTGGTCGGCGCCACCTAGCGTGCAGGCATGAATTAGCAGAAAGGCGATCAATCGTTTCACACTCGGTGTGAAAGCACCGTTTGTCAGGGTTTCGCCTCGCGCTCAGTGTGAAATGGCCTTTACTAGCTAAATTTATTCTCTGGCTGCTGTCTCATGCTGATTAGCTTCTTTGGGGGGAGTTCTCTGGGTTCGGGCTATATTCTGAGCTCGGAGCCCTCCTTCAAGCAGGCCAAATATGCTTACTATTTGCTAAATCTTATTATATGTAAGTGTGAATTCGTGAAGCAAAAAGGGGGAGATATAAGTATATGAGGTGGTGGAGTGGGTAGAGAATGGGTGTAATGAGAGAGAGAAGAAGAGTGGAACAGCTAGAATGGGATGAGTAAAGAGGAGTATGTGAGAAAAGAGGAGAGGAGAAGGAGAGGGAGAAGACCTGAGTAGAGAGGCGGGCATGGGTATGATGGAAAGAGCATAAGAAGGAACTGTAAGAAGACAAAGACAGAGACGAAGTAGACAGAAGGGTGAAAGGGGTGGAAGGAGAGGTAGAAGGTGCGGATGAATTTGAGATGAAATCAGTTACCCAATTGGCCATGTAAAAAAAATCATGGCCTCACCTTTAGAGAAGCTAGGAAACAGAAAAAAAGTTACTATGTCAATACACTTATAAGAGTTGTACTATAATTGTTGATAGAATAGATTTTTTGCCTTCTTGGGACAAGTTCTGTTATTTACTGTAAACGTCCAAACATTTTTCAGAATTTAAGTTTGGGAACATTCAGGTGGACAATCAAGTTTATTTTGAATGGAACAAAAGCATTGCCATGGTGGTCCAGAACAACACCACCAGCCACAAAGGAAGAGGCCTGTGGAGATGTTAAGACAGGAGCTTGTCAAGCATGTAATAAATGTTTATAAATATTATTTATTTAGTTATTCATTGTGACGAGAGGGGCGGGGCCGAGAGCCATGGGAACGGAGCGAGGCTGGTGGAGTAAATGCTAATGCACCTGCACCACTCACCGGTCTCGAGTCCCACGGAGGAGCTCCGGAAGGATAAAAGGAGGAGTGACGACAGTGTTGGATGAGAGAGGACCAGGCCTGGATTTTATTTTGCGTTTTGGTTCTGTTTGTGCACGACAGTCGTCCGCAAGGGGCTGTCAGGCTATTTTGTGTTTATTTTATTATTAAAGTTTTGTTCAAATGTTCACCGGTTCCTGCCTCCTTCCCGACCTACGAACGTTGTTACATTCATTAATTAATTAATTTTAAGGCTGACCTAAAGCAGTTCTGCAAAGAACAGTAGTCAGAGTGGGCCAAAACTTCACCATAACTCTGTACAAGACTGATCTCTAGTTATCAGAAGCGTTTGTTTGCAGATTTTGTTGCTAAAGGTGGCACAACCAGATACAGTTTTTCTCAAATGATTTGACACTTTTCTTCAATGCAATGTACTTGTTCTCAAAACAATTAGCACAGCCATCCAAACACAAAATTATCTTAACCAAACAGTTCAATTTTACTGCAAAATGAAGCACTGCAATTTTTTGTAGTAGTGCATTTATTAAAAGTAAATATTAACATCAAATCTATAGGTGTATTCTCTACTGATTATAAAACACATTCAGCTGTAGATGCACAAATATGCTAATAAAAATACATGTTTATTGCAATTCTTCAACAGGGAGTTTTGTTTTGTTGTCATGTTTGAAAAGCTCCTGTCTCAACATCTCCACAGGCATCTCCTTTAAGCTGGTGATGTTGTTCTGGACCACTATGTCATCAATGCTGCTATTCCATTTAAAATACTCTTGATTTTCCACCTGAATGATCTCAAACTTAAATTCTGAAAAATATTTGGACATTTACAGTAAGTAACAGAAGGAGAGGCCATGATTTTTACATGGTCAGTTAGGGTAATTCTGATTTCATTTGAAATTCATCTGCACCTTCTACCTCTCCTTCCACCCTGTTGTCCACTTTCTCTCATTCCATGTCTTCTTACAGTTTCTGCTCTTGCTCTTTCCACTACACCAATGTACCTACACCTCTCTAGTAATCTCTTCTCCCTTTTTTCCTCCTCTCCTCTTTTCTCACATCTTACTCTGTGCTCATCTCTTTCTACCTGTTACACTCTTCATCTTCTCTCTCATTACCCCCCTTTCTCTACCCACTCCACCACCTTATAGACTTACACCTCTTTCTTTACCCCCCCCTCCATTTTATTATTATTATTATTTTTGCATATTACTTTGTATACTTTCCCTTTTATTATTACTCTGAAGCAATTGTGATAAATGTGTAAGCGATTAGGAAAACTGCATTTCTTATATGATTAACCGAATAGTTGTCAGTTTAGAGCTAATCGAAAATACACCATGTTCATTTGATAGAATGACAAATTACAGAGTTTTGTTTGTTGCATTTGGACAAATGGTACAAAAAAGTTTTCAGATATTTTAAATATATATTTATTGTATTAACTCTTGTGAAAACATTTCAGAATTTTGTGCACATTGTTTTGAAAAAAATATTTGCACGATTTGTAATTTGTATGAAATGAATGAAAATGTTCAATCTGTTTAGGAAAATTACAAAGTATTCAGAGTTTTGAGAACAGTGACCTGAGTTTGGAGAAATGTGTCAAATCAATTGAGAAAAACGTCTCAGGTTACGTATGTAACCCTGGTTCCTCGAGGGAACGAGACGCTGCATCGGAAAACGCTAGGGGAATGCCTTCTGTGACCATGCTCTGAATCACATGTGAAATCAGTCCAATAGCTGAGCGGGACGTCATGGGCGGGTGACGCCATGACCAGGAAGCTATAAAAGCA